AAAGCAACTAGTGCGCACATCACATGATATCAATGCCAGGACTACAGCACTGCGGGCAAGGATAAGTCGACAATACAATGTCGACATCCTTAACAGTCCTTAGCATGTTTCGGTAAGAGATTCATGGCGCTATATGACAGTCTTCACAGCATATCGTGTTTTCATATCAATAACCTGCCCTAAAAGCTGGCGATTGCCTACGACCAGTACCAAGAAAAATCCACAAATAAGCCATTCACTAATCCGCCACCCAACGCAGCCTCCACGACGAGAATTGCCGGTTGGCGTCAGCTTTCGTGTGCGTCGAGATATTTTTTAGGCCTGGCTGCCAAATGCTGCCAGGTGTTGCTGTCGTCGCAAAACCGTTCCATGACGCCATCAAACAATGACGTAATGCGCTGCATTTTTACAAACTTTGAAATTTTGCTAATTACGGTCGTTTTTGTGCTTTAAAAGTTTATCAATATTTACAAGTAAGCTTTTCCCATGATACCTGATGCTTTTTCAAAACCCTCAAACGGGGAAGATTTCTTTTAAGTATTTAATTGATATGCTGCTCAGAACCTCCTCGTTTAACTGCGTTAAGGAATGTTTTTATGACATCAGTTGCTGTCAGACTGGCATTGTCAGAACTGACACTGTAGCGCACGGGCTGACTCACATGCAGCACTTCAACTAACTCATCGAAAGGCCTCGTGCTGATTGGTGCGCTGTTTGCAGAGGCTAGCTTTGGTTGCGGGTGCGTGGTCTGGATTTTTCTCGTGATGATCCTTCATATTTGTCCGTGATTTTATATTGTTACTTGCATTCACATACTAGGAACTTCGATAGTGATACGAGTTATGATGAGAAGTGGAACGAGAATCGAGCAACTTAATAACAGCGCTATAACCAAGTTCCTGCATTTTATGGCACAAAACGTGATTCGTGTTCGTAGCTTGCATAAAGCGCATCCCGTTGTTTGAAGGCTACCTGAATTTCGTTGGTGCTAGAATTCGTGCGGACGTACGCCAGGCACGAATAGTTCGATAGTACATTTTCCGTGACCTTCAGCTCTACATGACCAACGAGGTGACGCTACATACGTGACGTTTCTATCGCTCCAAGGATGCCTTGATGACCGTAAAATAATCCTCATGAAATAGTCTGCACATGGTCGCTAGCCGGGCGTGACACGAGTGACCCTGTTACGCACTGAGACTGCACTGGCGTCTTCAGGGCCCTAAATGACCTCTGCGCCCCGGTGGCTGTCCAGCCGCTGTTCACCCGTCGGACCACTACGAGTAAGCGCATCACGAGGCCGGTGGTGCCCGGGTGTCTGCTTTCTGGCTGTTAATGTCGCGCGAGACGTTTTCATATCGTGCGGTCTCGTCTTGGAACCACCTGCTGCCGACCGTTATGATCTCTCGGAGCCGTGCTGCGCTCATATCTAAACTTGACCAACGTGGAAAAGAGGGTTTGTTTGACTTAGCGAGTATACGCAGGCTCTTGGCGCCTTTTCATCATCTTTGCATCGTTGTTTTTATCGTGTAACTTGCAACCCATTGACTCGAATTAAACATTAAGCCATACGGATGGTACGATTTGCAGTAAATAAATAGCATAACATTACATGGCATGTTTGTGGGCGTCAAGCTAACAGACCAGATGATCGTTAGAATTCACGTGGCTCTGAACTGCACTGAAAAGTCTATGGAAAAAGCTACCCAAGTTTAAAACCCAACGTAAATATCGAACCCTCCCTCTAAAACATAGTCTCAAACATATATAAGCACTAACTTGCTTTGCATGGACAATGTAAGGAAAGATCTGCGCAACTAAAGCTAGAGGAAGGAAAACTAAGTCTTTTGCGCAGAATCGCTGTTGGGGATGGGGAGTCAAGTGGTTCATGATATCTGGAACACTAAGGCTTCAAATGGAATGCTGCGTCCCATCGTTTACTTCTGTACGGTAGATAGTGTCTTGACCATTACCCTAAAAGGCATTAGGAGGGGGGGGGGGGGAGGCTCAGGAGCTCGCTCCTATGGATTTTCCGAAATAACTTCCCAATGGTTTTGAGTACGACACCTGAATTATGTACACCCGAGCTTGCATAACTCCGCATATTTGTACGGAAATGCATTCGAAAAGGTGCTTTGTATTCCTCTTCTCACCAAAAGCACTGTTAAGTGCATGACTATTGATGTGGCGCTTTTGGGGAATTAAGCCGTCCAAATGCCCAGCTAGGTCAAACATTGACCTTTGTGGCTGAATATGACAGTTTGGGATTATACGATTTAAATCTGAGCTGCACATGTCTAATGGCTTGAGAACGCACTTCTAACGAAATGCAACAATAACCTTCAACCCTTCGGCCTAACATGACATATCACAGGTCAGTTCTGTTCGTTTATGACTCTGTTCCCAGTTGCCCCTCAAAAATACAAATATTGAGATCATAATGCAGACTCCGTCGAGAGACACCGAACACCGTTTGGTTTCAAAAATCCAGCAGCTCCCAGCCAGCAATTCTCGAGTCGGACTCAACAGTTTCGGAGATCTCAAAGGACTGCGAGGGGGAGGGGATGGAGGAATCTCTTCCTTCCCGCCCGCGACCAGAGCAGGAATATTGAGGAGCTCGCCCAGAATGGGGTTGAGTCTGCGTTTGGCGTAACGGCTATGAAATAATGCTGCGACGGTGTGAATCTCAATCACATCGTTCACTCGCTTTGTCACATTGGCCAATACGTTATTTGACAGTCTCTCGGACATATGATCTGTAGAGACGAGCGACACCTGGCATGACTGTCACTAACGATGCCAGCTAATACACAATGATACGATATGGCATAGACACACACTTTTGTTCATCAAGAGAATTACAAATACGACATGTACATAGTAAGTCAGTACAGAATGACCATGCTTAACAAAGCCGAAACATGCCATAATTTATTGTGCCGGCTAGCTTTTGTGCACCCTGAACACCGAGACGATTTAGAAAACAGCCAGCCATAACGAGCCTTGAGGGAGAAATAATACAGGCTGCCTACAACTGAGCTGCTCTCTGACTTTTCTCAGCAATGCCAACGATGTCGATCACCGGCCACCAACCATCTCTCAGCGGCTTCTCAAGGAAGATGCCATTGCTGCGCGCCCCGGTGCTGCAGGATCCTGGATCCATGGACAGGATCCCGCAGTTGGGTGAATGTGTCGTCCAATATCCGGCCGTGGCGCGGCCCGTCTCGCCGACGACCGCGGCCTTCAGCCCCTCCGTCGTGCGAGGTTCGTTGAGAGACTCCCAGACCTTAAGGTGGCTCCACGTGAGGAAATCGACTGCACTGAGGCCCGGTGACTGACGGACCATGGGATGTCCGTGTCGCGGCTGATGTATCGGTTTGGGAAATGGGCTGGCAGTCAGTCGAGTGAGCCTTGGAGGTGTGCGGTGTTGCAATCCTTGCTAGAGCAATTCCTGATTGCTGATTCTTTGCTGGCATTACAACTCCTGACGGCAATGCAGCAATGCTTGATTGCGTTTTCTGTCATCTCCTGATCACGATGGACGGCGCATGTCAGACAGGTCTGTCCAAAAGAAATCACGCACAGTGTCGATGTAGCGCTCGTGGTTGATGTTGATGGCCTCTCTGGCACACCTTTCGAGGGGAAATAACAAGTCATTCCCTCACCCATCGGCAGTTTGTCAACAAACCTCGCAAAACAGTGGGGCCGAGGGCCGCCATCGTCCGTGACATGGGCGCTGTGTCAGTGCCCAGATCACGAACGACACTGACACCCCACTCGCCGGAGGCTTACCTGTGATCTTGCAGCACCCGGGTGCAATTAGTGCATTGTCTTTAAGATGCTACCGAAAGCCGGTTTGATGGCCGAGCATCTACCCTGTTGATAATTTTGTTACACCAACTTAAGGAAAGTCAAAAGAGTATTGGAATCTTAAATATGCCCTGTTTAATTCCTTAGGATTTTAAGAAAAATCTATTCAATTTGTGGACATCCAATCCATTTTGCTACGCAAGCACAACTGAGCACTTAAGTTCCACTTAACTGTTGGAAAACGGGTGCAGAAATAAAGCTACCTCTGAACATTTCGACGGTCCTCCACAATTCGACGTTGCGGTCCTCTACACAGAAATCTGGTTGTGATAAAATAAATGAAAGCAAAAGGCTGTTTCTATCATTTTTGTCAGCCATACAACATCATTTCAGTTCCACATCATTGCCCGGACGTAGTGACCACAAAATTCCAAGAGAAGCCATATGTGATGGTTTATCGAGTCGCACCTCGTTGCGTTCGTTTATGTTCACCGTGTTTTGTGCTGGTCCATTGTCACTGCACTGTCGCCTGTCCACTAGCGAAGTCCAAGCAAGCACTGCTGATGCCCTGGCCGTACTGTCGCAGTGAACCGTGGAAAATGATGAGCACAAGACGAAAAGGAATAGGTCATGACTTAGCCAGGCGGAGGCGATAGGCATATGTCCACCAGATCCGTCTCTGCCACGCAGTGCCTTGCCCTTGAAAGGCCCTTGATATAGATCCTGTCATGCGCATGGCCAGCCTAAAGCCCTCGTTTGCGCCTCGAGCGTGTCAATTTGACATAGGATTGTATGCTTCACTGCCGCAACTGAGGGTGGACGCGAGTCTGTTAAACCGTTGCATGATTCTAGGTCAACGATTATATTTCTGGCGGTTCCGAGAAAAGTATCGACAGGAGGCAATACAGCTTGACAAGTACCGCTCCCTGCAACGATATCGTTCGCCGCTGAAGACTAGTGTTCGCCTTGCACACACTCGGTGACGTTGGCTCCGCACCTGCTAGTTGCGAGCTATCCGTTACGTCGTGAGACTGGCCGACAGTGCATGGCTCAGGCTCGCATCGCTCCTGCCTCTCCCTCGTCATCATCCAAACGACGATGGTTATAGATCGGATAATTTTCATCGGTAACACGAGCTAGATTTCCATCGTTTTCGCTTCGTCGCTGGCCGACCGGGAGGGGGGGTGGGGAGGAGGCGGCTCAGGGGTCGCAACCAGGGAACACGTTGCGTGGACGTAGGAACTCCTGCTCCACCGTGTGGATGCGCTGGCTGCGGGTGGTCTTGATGGTGTCGATGGGGGTGCGGTGGCCGTACAGGCTGCTACCGAGCACGGGCACCGTGCGCTCCGCTTCCTCCCGCCACATGTTCACCGCCGCCAGCTTGTACTGACCGTCCTCGCGGTGCAGCTTCTGGTTCCACGTACTCTTCTGCCGGTATACCTGGTCGTACTGGCATCTGCCGCCGGCGGATGTCGTGTCAAGCGCGCGGTGGCAGGAGTTACGGGCGCCACGCTACAGTGGAAGAAGGTTGATAACGTGACACCTTTGCACATGGGTTGCGTACAGTTTTGCATCGCAGTGCCTGTGAGCTGCGTAACGTAGTTTATATGCCGGTTTGATTTAAACGTTGCAGTCATAAGCAGTGGCAGAAAGGGCTCCCCAGAAAAATGATGTAGGTCACGTAATAGAGGGCTCCTGTCTGCGGGAATTTCATGCAGGTATGATGGTGTTGAAATTTGAAGGTATGCAAAACTTCCCAACCAAACAGAAAAAGGAATTTGAAAAATACACAGCCTGTATTTGACTCACATGACGTTGTGCTCTTTTTTGCTGGGCCCGAAGTAGGTGATGGCCGGGTCCATAGGCACTACTTTGTCAGGATGAAGAGCCTTGAATCGGTTCTCCAGTTTGTCGAATTTGCCCAAGATTTCCTTCGCAAACTCGTCATCTTGTGTAAACGTGTAGTCGTGAATATAGCTCATTTTCAGAACGTTGATGATCTTTGTAAAATAAAAAAGTAAGCACTTCAAAGTGTACAAAATCGTAAGGACTTGAGGAAGTTTCGGTTAGATCGCGTTAGGAGTTGATCATTTAAGTTTCGAATCAAAATCAGCTTATTTTTGAAATGACAACACCAATGTATGCAGGATACTATTGCAGCCGCTAAAACACTTGGGAATTTTCTTCGTTCTGTGTACTTTTTATGCGATCGTGATCAATGCATTCTATCTACCTCCAATAGCGTATTTTAAATCATTAAACAATCAGGCGTCCATTTCCCCGTCAACGTTTTCGACGATTGATTCACGGGAAAAGAAAGAGTAACTCTTTCTTGTGTTGTTTTTGTCACCCGGGGCCGCGACTAAGATCAATATTGTTTTGAGTGTTTGAGGTTCCCGGGTCATGACCTTGAGGTAAAATAAGGTCAAATAAGGTCAGACTCCAGATTGATGTCTCAAGTGCCCCCAAGACCACCTATGAACAACCATGAAGCTAGATGCCTGTTTTAAGAAAAAGTTCAATGAGGTCAGTAACCTTGTTTAACCCTGATAAGGCCAGGGTGAGCAAATATAGACCAAAGAGATTGCTCGAATTTTGCCACCAGAAACTACTCCATCAAACCAACCTCTCGAGTAAAATGCAGGTTAGTTTTGCTATCGTTCTGACCTTTGTACCTCACTCTAGATTAGAGGAAGTGATTATAAGTAAAAATTTTATTGGTTTATTGCCTAAAAAGCTCTGAGATATGCATGGCTTCGTCTAACACTACGTTGTTGCATCATGTTGAACAATGCCATAGAAATGCCCTTCGCTGACAACCACGGCCTGACTTTGACCTGCCATAGGGCAGCATCTTATAAGCTACATTCAATTTGTTAAATCAAAAGGCCCACTATTCAATTCCCAACAGGTATGAAAATTTTGATGCCGCTTCGCCGCACCGTTCGAAAAAAACTAAAAACTTTCAGGGGGGCAATTTGATCCCCGCCCATCCAAGCACGCGTTAAACCTTGCAGCATTAAACCTTGATACGTGTCTACAGCGCTCCATCACCAAACCATGGTCACTGGATATCCGTGTGCAAACGGCACCCATTCCCTGTCATGACTGCACCGCAGGGGGTGGCAGTGGTCCACCGCACTGACGTCCCCGACCGGCACACCGGTCAGAGCGGCGAGCTGTGTGACCGCACTCGGCCGCCACGCCGGTCAGAGCGGCGAGCTGTGTCGCCGTTCTGACGCCCCCAGCCGTCACACCGGTCAGAGCGGCGGGCTGTGTCTTCACACTGGCGTCCCCGGCCGCCACACCGGTCAGAGCGGCTGGCTGTGCCGCCGCATCGACGCACCCGGCCGGATCGGCGGACTGTGCCTTTACACTGACGCCCCCGGCCCCCCGATCGGAGCGACGGGCTGCGCCTCGGCTGCCGAAGCGCCCTCGGCCGGGCGCCGGCAGGGCCGTGCCTGCCGTCGGCCGCCGCCGCCGCCACCGCCGCAGTCGTGTCGCCGCCGTCGGCGCTTCGCCCCGAGCTGGGCCGCGTCCGCAGGGCGGTGGTGGCAGGGCCCGACGCGGCACCTCAGCCGAGCAGCGAGCGGCGGGTGCGACGCCGGCCGAGGACGGGGACTTCTGGTGGCTGTCTTGTTGGACACGGGAGCTGTGTGTAGGAGGGTCTGTTGGTGGTGAATCTTCTTCCGCGTCGGCAGCAGAATTGCTGGCATTCGGGCATCTTGTGGTTTTTGAAAATCAGGTAAGTGGTCTGGTCGGGATCTTCGTAGTGTTTGTGTCCAATGCAGTCGCGATGAAAGAGAGTTAAGATCTGAGGGTGGAGATCAAACGGTCGTTTCTGGAATTGACTAACATTGATCAAAGTTCAAAGAAGGAACACAGGCTGGAAACGTAGTTTTGAAACAACTGCTCCCAGGCAGTCAAGTTTCCTCTAAAATTTCATGCGGTTGAATGCGAACACAGGCCAGCTCATGCATGAGTGGCCAGCTGCGGTGAGCATCGTGGTTATGCTCCTCGTTTTACGGCCTGCTTTGTACGGGCGGTTTTGAGAACGCGTCCGGTGCACCCACGCGGCGCCAGGCTGTAGGCCGAATCAGGAGCGGATGCGACGCGCGTCTGCTGGCGTCATGCTTTTTGCCGACTGAGTCGCACTTCGCGACGAAAAGCACCGCTCCACACTTGACGTACTTTAATGTCTCGTTTAGTCTGGTGACGCGGGACTTGTTTCTAGAGAAAGGGAGTCGAGGGTGAGGTGGTGGCATGTTTCAGCGACCAATACGGAGCTCATTTGGTCACACTGACGCCGTGTATTTGTTGGCGATTAACAGCGGTTGCCGACTGCGTCTTCTGTGCAGCGTGCATGGTTAACGTTATCAAAGCGTAATTTCGGGACTTGGAAAGGATTTGAAAGCGACAAGCAAGTCGTCTTCACCCCCCAAGCTGAGTACACCCTGGCACACCTTACACTTTCTGACCTCTTTATGAGTCTAGTGCTATCTTCAATTCGTATTGCAATGCATATTAAATTCTAAGCAACTGCTCTGTTCTCGACGCGTGTCAGGGCTGGACATCAAGGCTGCTGCTGCGCCTAGTACGCGAAAGACGTCACACCAGCCATGCCGCTGGTTTTTACAACTTGTCCAACGCACATCCCTCGCACGCAACAAAAAATCGCCCGCGAAAGCAGGCATGCTGACGATATATGGGTCAATACCCATAACAAGCAGCACATCGTGTGTTGTGCGGGACGGGCGAGGCGCTTGTGGGCGTGCGTGACGTCATCCGCATGATGCAAAAGAGTAAACGACCGGATCCAGCCGTCTTTGATCACCAGTAACGATGGTTGATGCGCTTACAATGCGCTCGATACCCCTCGTTGATGACATATCTGCGGGGATGTGTCATTGAAGCATCGTTTGCGTGTTAGTTCTCCAAGACTGGCTGGACTAAGTTTGAGGTCTTTTCCTACATGCATTTTTCAGCCCGTATCTAGCCTAGAGCTTTGTATCCTCTACCGTCCCACGTCATACTTTTGCTGAACGCATCATACTTCTCGACAGCTATCGCGCTGTATACAGGATTTGATTTCGTCTCTCATCTCCCTTCTGGTCACGCAAAGCAATCTCTCAGCGAAAAGAAGCCCGAGGCATTTGAGCTCGTGGTTTGAATGCTTACACGCGTATTATTTTTGTCAAATTTGTAGATGATTAGCGGTGGCTTATCGATTGCAGTCTTCTTGTATAGCTGAATATTTCAAATGATTTATGTACAAATTTAAATATTGCTTGCACCTTTCTTATATAATTAAGTATTCTAAATGATTTAAGCGTATACTTGAAGTTTAGATATGACTAACATTGTGACCACCAAGCCCTCTTGGATCTCAACTGGACTACCCTCGCATGTGTCTGGTCCGGCGGATTCCATACTTTTTATATTCAGGTGATGACGTACGTAACCAAAGGACATGTTCATTTTTCAAGGCATCGCCTGGCGGGTGTGAGCTTGTAAGAAGTAATTAGTCAGTTTTTATCGGGCTACAACGCTCAGGACCTCCGACATGAATTAACAACGTAAGCCATGGGTGTAAGCCATGCACAAAAAACCAGGCTGCCCTCGGGAAGTCGCTCCTGCGAGGAGCATTGGAATGATCCAGGCAGGTCTCAACCAAGGAGATGTCGCCAAGGCACTGGAGGCGTCACACCACGGTTAACGGTTTAACAGGTTTAACGGTTTAACGGCACGGTTTAACAGGGTGGGTCTCCCAGTTACAGTCAGCGTTCGGGCCAATTTTCGCAGGCCAGCCGGATGGGGGCAGTGGCCGCCGGATTGGGAAGTGGCTGCTGGATGGGGCAATGGCTGCTGGACGGGAACAATGGCTGCCGGATGGGAGCAGTGGCTGCCGGAAGGGAAAAATGGCTACCGGATGGGGGGCTGTGGCTGCCGGATGGGGGCAGTGTCTACCGAATGGGGAAGTGGCTGCTGGATGGGGAAATGGCTGCTGGATGGGAGCAGTGGCTGCGAGATGGGGTAGTGGCTGCCAGAAGCGTGCTGAGAAGAGCGTGAAAGGAGTGAAAAGCAAAAAAGTCAGAGTGTGGAAAAATCTTTCGTCAAATTGCAGCGCGCTCTTAGGGCCACGAGGTGTTCCGCGTTGTTTGTCTGTTCATCTTTTTATGATTACATAAAGCCTTCATTAGGCCTCACGGCATACAAACTGGCCAAGCAGAAACAAATGGAGGGGAAAACATCGAAGGCAAGGGTGGAGCTGCGTACAAATGGAGGAACTGGAGCAATGACTACTTTAAATGCTTATTTAGAGGAACGAGTCTGTTTTCGCGTGCAAACAACCCTCAGACACCCAAAGCGAGCGCAAGTAGATGTAAAACAGGGTGGGATGCCACTTTGTTGCCTTGGAAAGAGGTCTCAAAACTGGATGGTATGGCACGGGTTGGGTGGTGGGCAATGGGTGCTCTGGGCCTTACAAAGCTGCGCTTGCTGCCGCAAAAACAGACTTTCAACACAAATTCATATGTCAAAGAGCCTCTCACTGAGCCCCGAAAACAAGCAGCGAACATGGAAACCGCAAATGAGATGGAGATAGTGCGCATGTTAACCGCCATCTTCTTGCAAGACGACGCACCCACTCACTCACACGGTGCAGACATCTAGTAATGGTGATTGGCGCATCTTCCGGACTCTGCGACAGGTAGGCATAACCGGGAGACTCCCCTGTCCTAAACGCCATCGAAAATCTATTCGGCATCCTCAAGGCGTGTCTCAGCGAGATACATACCTGGAAGAGTACCGCGGCGTTGGAGGCGTCACCGCAGGGGGAATGGGCGTGCGTGGCATTCTGCACGCCCTGTAAG